TGAATTAATTATAACTTTGGGAAAATGTAAAAATGTTTATATTTGAAAACAGTGAAAAGAATTGTGATTGTCTGTTGTCTGGTGGACCTGAAGTGGAAATCAAAATGACAAATTATCTTGTTTTGCGATTTGTTGTTGTGTTGTTTGAATTGTGGTGCTTTTTATTTGCTGTTGTGTTTTTTAAATTTTTAAATTTGTAATTCAGGGCCACAGTACTGTTGCTCATACACATGAATCTCAAGTGTAAGAGCTTTGTTTTGTTTCTTATTCTCAATCCCTGCAGGTCCAGTGGAGAAATGTAATTCTGATTGATCGCAGACTGACTCTGTCTCTCCACCACTTCTAAAATCTGGTATTGGAGTATTTAAGAAACTAGTTTTCATCCCAGCTCCAATTCCACATCTCTGAACTGGATCTGTGGCTGTGACTCATTAAGAATCGGTGGGTTTGCTGATTGCAGCACGATGGTCTTGTTTCTGTGGTGAGTCTCAGACGCCTACCTGCGGCTGGGCCCGAGTGGAACAAGGCTGCTTCTATAATTAGGTTCTCGTGGATGATTGGATTAGAGCAGCTACTATATTCATTTTGCTAAAGATGCTCCTCAGCTGCTCGGAGGGACTAATGGAGGAGACGGAGAGATGTAGGTGCGAGACACAATGAGACGTGACATTATCGTATATGCTGGCTGTGCTCATGCATGAGCCTGTTCTCTTAAAATCTATTGTGCCACCAAGTCAAGATTCAGGAATGATTAACATTGATATACTTTCACATATTTCCCTTTCAAAGCTCCATTTTACTCTCCTCTCCATCACCCTCCCTCCCCTGTCCCAATGTTTCAATTGGCCGTCTTGTTATTGAACCTCAGGGGACATTATGGCGGCCTGCCGACATGACTGTGGTGCCTCATCCTCAGCTGTGATGATATGCTTTGTTTCACATCAGACAAAGAGACTGTACATGTCTGAGACTCAACATCTAACTTCAAAACAACTTTTAAAGCCCTCCATCCTCTCTAACAAGATTATTACATATTCTTACTTAAACTTCAATTTGTAGAATGATGTCTGTTTTTAAACTGCTGAGGAGAGAAAGTTTTAAATCTGAATTTAAGAGTTTTTAGTTTGGAATCCAGTTGTGGTCAGTTGTTTAACTAAATTAGCGCAATGTGCAAACTTGAAGCCTTGAGAACATAAAGACTAAAACTGCATTGGAATATATTTACATGTTAACAGATTCTGAAGTTTAAGGATTGAGGGATGATAAAAAGATGCAAGTTAAGGATTTTGTTTTAGGAAACATGAGGAAAATGGGCGTGGTGTAAAACCCCATTTGAGGCAGTCAAGTAGATGGTAAAATAAATAAAGTCTGATAAATATGGGCTCATATATTACAAAAGACACCTACGCTCAAATGTGCTGATATGCATATTCCTTATTTGAGCACATTCATTTAAATGCCTGGAAGAGGATTTATATGCCACACCCCACCCACTGACACAGACATATTTTTTCCTCCAAAGTAAGAAAATATACATATATCCACAAAGTTTTGTCTTATATCCCAGTGTCCCTGCCAATGTGTCATAGATTATGTTCTACAGCATTGATGAGCTGAGCCCAAATTCTTAGTCATCATAAAGAGAATTAAATGATTCCATTTACTTATCTGCTTTATTTTTATATTTTTCTAATATATTCTTTTATTCATATATTAATATGACTTTACTTGACTTAATTGTTCAATTGTGGACTTAATTATATTATACATTTATTGATTGACAGCAACCCTTGACCTTCCAAAGGATAAGCAGTATAGATAATAGATGGATGAATGATAGATGCTGTTGTGTTCACCTCAACAGTGCTCAGGTTATTTGGTTCAAATATGGATCTGATTCCAAGACTTACACAAACAAACAAATAAATAAACTGCATTACTGATCACTAATAACATTTCCAGCAGGCAGTGTGAGGCCTGGACAGTCACCTTGCCTCTCGTCTTCTCTCTGAAGTTATCCCAGACTCTGCCACGTTAGATGGTTATCTGAACGCAGCGTCCGCTCTCTGTATCTCATCTCCACGTCGCAATGAGGGAAAGTGCTCCAGTGGGACTTGCCTTCCCAGAATTCCCTTGTTATCTGTCAAGGTTGGTATATAGGAAAATAAGTCCAGGAAGAAATTAGCACAGACAGCTGTAAAAGATAAAGTAAAGTGTAGTGAAGACAAAATAAATTAGGGTTGGTTGTTTGTTCAGGATCTGATTAGATACTTGGGATCATAATTCTCAGTTTGCATGAAAATAATCCAAAGATCCATTTAAGAACATTTGGAAAAGTATATTCTGTCAAATCCAATGTCAGAGAAATGATTAATTATAGATCATTGCAAATTCAAGGCACTGAAAATAAAATGTGTCCAAATATCAGTGACTCGTGTAAAGACATCATATAGGACATTCTAAAAATATCTTCTGGTTTTGAATAAATGAATCGGTTTTGGTTTCCATCCAAATGCTCTCTAGAAGAGAATCTTATGCTAAAACCATCCCCCAACCCTCGTCATCGGTGAAGCCCTAAATAACTGGATTGACTTTTGGACAAGCGACAGTTTTCTTCATAATTGTTAATTATCATGAGTGCTCTCTGAGGTACTTTCTATGAATGGATATGGGACTCTCTCCTCTCTCCTCCTGTTTCCACCCTCTGCTCTGCTTACGGGATTGGCCGTAGTTTTCAAGGACGCCAAAGAGGACGCAGACGATGGAGGAAGGAGGTGCAGTGGATGGGTGGGGCACCTACGTCATTCTCGAAGCATCAGGGTTGGTGGAATTTTATGGCAATGGGCGCCAGCGAGCTACACGCCCTCCAAACCCCCCCCCCCCACGCAGTCCATCTTCCCCTGGCTGACCACCAGTAACCCCACCCAACTGGGGTGGCTCCTCCCCGAGTCCCAGACGTTAGAGAGTACAGCACTTAAGGTAATGTAAATAACGAGGGAGAGAGAGCTATTTTAAGACACTGTCTTTCACTGTGGCCATGGAGGGGGACAAAGATGCAAGCCAAGCGATTGTAATTTCAGTCACGTTTTCAGACATGTTCTTTCTCCATCTTGCCTCCTGATAGCTGAAGGGCCCGACAGACAAGAAAGAGTCGTACATTCAGTATGAGCCGTTCTCTCAAGATAGATATTTGCCTTTTTAAATATGTTTCAAAATAAAAAGCAACTGCAGGTTATGAGTCTGAATAAAAAACTATGATCAGTTTAAAACTATAAAAAAAAGGAAATGCAGGAATAATTTGAATTATTCTTATTAGTGAAACACAAAATGAAAATCTAAAATAAAAACATATCTCTTAAAAGCCAAATTTTTACTTCTCAGGCTTTTTTTCCCTAATCTTTGCTCTTCTTTTTACTCACTGAATCACATTATCACGCCTCTAAAATGATAAAAATCTAACAATATGACAGTGAAGAGTCAGTTTTTGGTTGAACTCATGCAATATGACAAAGAGTTGCAAGCCAACAGAGCTGTGATTCGACAAATCACAGACCATAAATGTTGGGAACCAGTTCTGCAAAACTCAAAACTCAAAAGAACCTCATGAACGACGATAAAAACAAAAGACAGTCAAAATATCACTTTGCATGCAAACATGTATTATAGTGCAAATTTTGAAGATGAAGTCAAACTGCTGTCCAATGAATTATTTTTTAAAGTTAAACAAAAAAATGTGAAATACAAATTCTATCTTCGTACAAAATACAGTATGTTCCTGAAATAATTTTCTTTTTTATTGTTTCATCTTTTGTGACATCAAAAATAAATAAACATTTATTCAGCATCCTTTCCGTCTCACTTGAATCATTTTATCTGTCATGATATATATATACACATTATCTCTCTGTTTTTAATGACCTCATATGCTTACAAACATACACGGCACAGAGAAAAATCATCTGCTGATAACAACAAGTAAAGAAGTGATTTGTGAGATCAGAAGCTGCTCTGCAACAGTTACTGCTCGACTTTGCAAATCACCAACGAAACAAACACACAAACATTTGTCCAAATACACTACATGAGATAATTATAATTTTCTCTAGAGGTTACATTCATTTTCAAGTCTTTGTTCGTGTCAGTCTGAGCAGAGTCTAGTTGTGGACGTTAAATGATCTCTACTTATGAACGTCATTAAGGCAGCTGAATACAAGATCATTTCAAACACAAAGGTACACTGATTAAAGTGTTGACATTTAAGAGAGAATATTAGCTGTATTTTCTACTCAGCATGATAAATGGATTGCTCCTTTCTTTGATTCACAGATATATATATATCGTGTTTAACAGGAATAATTGATGATATACAAGAGAGACATGATTGCCTGTCAAAGCTGCATCAAACCAAATGAGCTTCTTGGATATTTAACACTTTTATGATATTTACGTCTATTTCATGTGTTAATTCATTGATGGATCAAAACCCAAGTGTCTCGGTGTTACAACTGTGAAGTTGTACATTTAAATGAATTGATATGACACAGAGCGATAAAATATGCTGTTTTTCATTTTTTCCCTATTTTACCTCCACTTCACAATCAGACTTTTATAATAATTGTTGTACACGTGTTAAAAGTGTGTATATGTGTTATTGCTTTTAAATAATGGTATACACTTCTTCCGTTGTGCTGTCAGTCACTTCTCAAAAAGTTCCAGTTGTTTTTCATATTTCACAGATTTGTCAGCTTCTCTTAACCATCACTTTACTGCAGTTATCTTTAGTGAGTAAAAGAAAAAAATCTCTTAAAGGTCCAGTGTGTAAGATTTAGGTGAAAGGGATCTATTGGCAAAAACTTAATGTAGAATAATCCTCAAGATGTCTTCAATAGTTTGTTTCAACTAAATTGTATGAATTGTAGTTTTCTTTACGTCAGAAAAGGTCCTTTATATTTAAATACTTTATATTTACATTGAGGGGACTCTCTCTACGGAGGCCGCCATGTTTTTTTACATTAGTCCAGACTGGACCAACTAAACACCTTTTGACTTTTTATAACAATTAAAGGCTACCACAGGTTCTTTCTCATGTTTGGAAGGAGAGGGTGAGGTGAGGGGTGTTCAGCTGCAACATGAAATTTCAACACTAGATATCACAAAATTCTACACACTGTACCTTTAACAATGTGTCTTCAATCCAGATCAAGAAAGGAAGCCAGTTATCTTAACGAATTACATGAGTGTGTGTGTGTGATGAACTTCACAGGAAGACAGTTTTATGACTGGACAATCAGCAAGCCGCTACGCTACATATCTAGATCCTGACATTTGGCTGTTATCCAGTCACCACCAGCAGGATTTGCTCCTTTGTTGTTCAAGATGTTCACTTGTTCCTTTTTTGACAGAGTGACCAGATCTCTGTCAGTTTTAGTCACGTCATCATTTTTTTAAAATCACATTCCAGGTCCGTCATTCTTCATCATGGTGGGAGGAGTCGGGGCTGGACTCCTCCTCCTCCTCCTCCACCATCTCTTTTGGCAGTGTGTCACGGCGCGTGAAGGCCGCCGCCAAGGTCACGCTCAGGCGGGGTTTGACCGACGCCATCTCCGACAGCCCGATGTTGTTGCCCCGAGTCACAAGCGTAGTCTTATCCATAATCTCCCCGCTGTGCTTGGACACCACCGCGTCGAGAAAGTCGTATTTGTGTGAAATCTTGCCGCTCTCAAACAGGTACTTGGCCAGGTAGGAGAAAGCAACGTTGCCCAGAAAAGAGGAGAGCATAGAGATGGTTTTGAAGGGAAACTTCTGAATGACAATTTCCTCCATTTCTCCCGTCAGGTGGTGAATCCGCTTCTCAAGGGTCCAGCCGGGGTAATAAATGAAAGGAGGCAGCCGCAGGTAGGGTTCACCTCCACCTATACGCAGCACCATGCCGAACAGGTAACCAGCCACCGAGCCGTACGTGTTGGTGCCTTTGATGAAGAGCACGCTGAGCAACTGGGGGAAGATGATGACGTAAACTAGGTCTGAGCTCAGGTACCAGAGGCCGTAAACTGTCCCAGTTACAAGAGCCATCACTGTGGCGAGGCCACCGAACACAAAGATGGTGATACGCATCACCCACACTATCTCACGATCAGAAGCCTGCATGAGAAAATAGAGAAGAGTGGAAAAGCGATGGAGGTTTTCCAAGATCAAATAATCAAATAACACAGCTGACACTTAAAGTGTAAGTACACAACTGCTGTTTTCTGACCGTGATGCAAACGAAGCAGCACATTTGACATAAAATGTATAGAAATACAATGATATGTCTCCCCGTCCCCCTGTTGTATAAAAACAATGCTAAAGTATCCTGGATACATGTGCTGCCATCTTTTGGTGATATCTGGAGCCAGAGTCGGTGCAGTGGTGATCGTGGTATGGAGCAGCGGTATCGTGGTCCTGCTGATACACATGCTCGACCTGTTGAAGCTGTCTATCATGATGTTTTTTGGCATCGAACAACGAATTAAAACCAAGCTTATGAGAAACAGGAAGACTTGAAAGAACATCTGTGTGATAAGAAATACCTTAAATAATAGAAACCATCTTTGAGTAAAATGTGTTTGTACTTTGACTTTTTAGTTTGGTCGATGTCCCATCCACTCACATGGAGGAGACAGGATTCATGGCCTATGCTGAGATTTTAGCTTTATTTCTGGATAGTAGGGGGAGTTCTGCCTTGAAGAATGGCAGAACATCCAGAAAACTGACTTGGGATAATATATTATATGATACACATGTACTCACTGACTGTCTGAACGCCAGCTGGTAGATGTTCCTCGCAAACATGGAGCTCGCCGAAAGGATGGAGGAGTCTGCGGAGGACATGACGGCGGCAGAAACCGCACCCAGGCCGAAAAAAGAGACAAATGGTGGACAGAGGTGTTGGAGCACGATTGGTAGAATCATGTCTGCTTCATCCTTCTCTCTGGGAGGTATGGCTCCGTATGTTGTCTGGTTCCAATCTGAGCGAGGGAGAGATTTGACAAACATTTAAGACACATCCAATATTCACAGTACGGGTACTGTAACATATGGAGATAAATTCATAGCAGAAATCTAACTGATTTAGAATTAAACATTTATTAAAATATACAATGAAATATAATACATTTTTAAGTCATAGAATACTTAATATCAATATAAAATTTGGCAGACATGTACAGGCATTAGAAAATTAAATTACTTTTGTTCCTTTGTTTTCTCAAATCTTTGCTCATTAAACTTATTAACCAAAATCTGAGGCTCAAATAAATAAGATGCTAAATAATGATAATTAAACTGAAACAAAAGTTCAAGTTCAAAATATCACTAGTTTGCAATGTTAAGGTAAAGTTTCACTTCAGTCTTTTTAAGTGTGAAATGATTTTTTCAGTTCAGGACAACAACAAAGTTGTGTTCAGTCGTTCACTGAGACATTTTCTGTCATGAATCTGGAGATCAAACCTCTAATTTGGTCCCTTGCCTCCTTCTAATATATTTACACAGCCAGTGTGGTTATTAAACGGACGGCTGCTTCATTATGGATGAGGCGAACCAGCTGCTATTTACCAGCCTATCTCAGATCTAAGGGCTACATGCCCCCCCTACACACACACACACACACACACAC